GAGGGAAGGGGGGAGGAGGGGGGGAGGGAAGGGGGGAAATGCCCAGCATGTAAAGAGGCGAGGTTGGGGCCCTGTGGGCTGATGGGGGGAATGGGGGTTTCGGGGGAAAAGTGCTGGTTCGTGGCGGTTCGTCCCTCCCTCGTAGCAACCCCGTCTCGCGCGCGCCCTCCTAAACCAGAGCAAGTGCCCCACCCGCCAAGTAATGAACGATCGGGGGCTGAGCTCCCACTATTCCCCGAACCTTCCCCACATCGCTCCGGACTCCGGTACAGCAGTTTGGCGCTTTTAGGACGCTAAAAACCTTCTTTGCTCATTGCATACATGCCCCCCTCGCCCTCGCCCTCGCCCTCCCACCCCGGCCGTTGTTTCGGACTTTGGGGTACGCCGTCAGTTCATTTCTCGTTGCCTTGCATGTGATCCCCCCAACCCCCCCTCCAGGCAGACATGGCTTCCGACTCCCTATCCACAGCCACCATCAGCAGCAGCGGCGAGCTGGTGGCGCTAGGGGGCAGTGGCGGATACGTGCATCTCTGGGGGGATATGGGGCCGGGGGGGCTAGGCGGGGGAGGGGGGCCGGGGCGGCACCGGGTCAACAAGGCAGCCAGCTCCGTGCCGCCACCCGCCCCCCCCGGGGGCCCCCGACCCAAACCCGCTGTGGCTCTGCAGGTGGGTGCGGGTGCGGGTGCGGGATGTGAGATGTGTTTCTGTAATCTGATATGTGTGGAAAGGTTTTCTCGGGGAAGTTTTTCCCCGCCTTTCCCCCGAGCTAATGGGTTTTACCCCTCTTCCCCCCTCCGCCCCTTCCCCCCCCACACACACCCGGATTAAGTGAGTGTGCTGAATTTAACCAAGCCGCTAGGCGTGACGATGCGAGCTTTGTCACATGCGTGCAGGTTTACCGGAGCAATTATAGTCAGTAGCACAGATGCAGTGGAGACAGCTGGGGCTCCGTTGAATACGTGTGTATGCGTGTGTGCGGTGTTTTTACGCGCAGGAGGACGACAGCTTCTCCTCCGCCCCCCAGTACCCCCCAGCACCACCACCCGGTGCCCCCCCTGGACTCCCACCCGGTCCGCTGGTTTCGGAGGTGGATCCTTCCGAAAACAGTACGGTGGGGTTGCCGCCGCGGGTTCTGGAGCCGTCCATGCGGCGGGAGATCCGGATGGTACGGATTGCTAGTTGGTCGGCAGTTGGCAGTTACCGGAAGGCTCCTCAGGGATTTAAGATGGTGTGGTCATGGTTGCGGTTGGGGTGGTTAGAACAACGAAGAGGGGAAGAAGGAGGGGTTGTAGTGGGGGTATGTGAGGGAGGGAGGGAAGAAGGGCCATGGTGCCGTAGTTTCATTTACAGTCGATCCGTACATCAACCACATCTCCCCAACCACCCCAATCTACCTATTTCCAATGTTTGGGGCTCTCTTGCAGTTTGCCCCCCGCCCTCACCCCTCCACGAAACTCCTAGCCCCCTTGTAACTGCTGGTAGCGAAATATTTATAAATCTTTGTATCGCATGCATCATCACCACCATCATCACCACCATTACCACCATTATCATCACCACCATTACCACCATTATCATCATCATCACCATCACCATCATCACCACCACCATCACCATAACCTACACTAACTTACATCCCCACCCCACCCCCCACCGCCACCCCTCCCGCCTCCGGTCCTGATGTCCAGGTTGACGGTGTTGGCTACCTGCCCAACCCGCACTTCTCCCGCTCCAAGGTTCTCACGGACATGGTCCGGGAGCTGGCGGGACTGCGTCACGGCCCCTCCGCCCGCCTGTCCATGAGGCCGGACTGGGTGGACCCCGCGGCGGCTAGGGCGGAGAGACAGAGGCAGCGAGCGGCGGAGGGTGAGGAGGGAGATGCTTCCGGGTCGGGGAGGGAGGGGAGGAGGGGGAAGGGGGTGGAGGGGGGGAAAGGGGGGAAGGGCCCGGATATACGCATGTCAGTCACAGAGACAGACAGACAGACAGACAGACAGACAGACAGACAGATGAATAGATACAAATCTCACGCACACATTCGCATCGCGGCGTTCAGGTGGCGTGGTATTGCCTCTGCGATACCAATACGTGGAAATACGACACTACGGCAGGCTCAAGTGGGAGGAGTTTGATTTTTCGTACTACAATCGTACACGGTTCGCGGGGCTGGAGAACGACCTTCCCAACGCCTACTGCAACGCGCTGCTGCAGGTACCCGTGGGGGGAGGTCGGGGTGGGGGTTGGGGGGGGGGTGGAGGTGGCATGAAGGAAAGGGGGAGCCAGCTCAGGCAGGGGGAGCCAGCTCAGGCAAAGAAACCAGGTATGAACTGCCGGCGTCCAAAGTCCGAAACTGCCGGAGTGTGTAGTGTAGGGGGGGGGACGGGGAGGGGAGGAGGCTGTTGATTATATGGGCTGGAAGGGGCTAAAAGGGGGCTGGGTATGGGCACCAGCGGCTTCACCTTTCCCACCCACCCCGTTCGCACCGTCACCGTCACCATTGCCGTCGTAGTCACCATCGCAATAAAGGACCGTGTCGGCCGGCCTTGCAAACACACCCCGGCCAACCCCCCACCCTTTCTCCTTACACACACCCCACTGCTCCCCCTACCCACCCACCCACGTACTCGGTATGTCATTACAACCCTCCATGTCCAGCAGCTCCCCCTAATAGGACGTCGGCAGTTAATGCGTTTATGACTTTTGTGCATGTCGGTGTAATCATAATTTGCCCATCCCTTTTTCCGAATCGCGTCCCAAACCCAACACCGCTCCCCGCCCCTGGGCCCCCGGCCCTGGTCCCCCACCCCCACCCCTAAACCCACCGGCTGTCACTCTCAGGCTCTGTACTTCATTCCCGAGTTCCGTACTCTGGTGATGTGCCACACCCCCGAACCGGATGTGGAGTTCTGCCTCACCTGCGAGCTGTCCTTCTTGTTCGCCATGCTGCGGAGATCTGTGGGGCTACCCTGCCAGGTGGGTAGGGGGGAGGGAGGGGGGGGAAGGGAGAGAGGGGGAAGGAGAGAAGGGGAGGGAGAGAGGGGGAGGGAGAGAGGGGGAGGGAGAGAGGGGGAGGGAGAGAAGGGGAGGGAGAGAGGGGGAGGGAGAGAGGGGGAGGGAGAGAGGGGGAGGGGGAGTTACCTGTGTATAGCAGGTTGATGAAAGTCCTCATTTTTCCTTGTTGCCCAACTCCCCCCCCGGGGTTACACTCTTGCCCTGGCAGCAGCTTCACTCGTTCACGTGGTTCGTCCTGACCCCCCAAAGACCACACCTGCCTTACAAACCCACAATGTCCTCTTGCAATACTACTGGGACCACCCCGCTGTGTTGGGGGGCATAGTTGTTCGTTTCAACGACGGAAAGCGTGGTCGCAAAGCTCTCGGGAACCATATCTTGAACAAACCAGGCTCCGCGACTAGGCACAGGCAGAGGCACAGGCAGGGGCGCAGCATCTCGACCGGCGTTCGATGGAGTCGTTGCGCTGCACAATGTGTGTGGTCGTTACACAGTGGGCTCCAGCGCGGTGTGCCACATATACCACCCACAGGGCCGCTTCCTTCACGTGGCGGAGTACATTAAAACACACACAGCACACACAGAACCTGCCCGCTGCTGTAATTGTTTTAAGCACGCATGGAGATATACACACGCATCACACATCACACACACGTTTGGGTTTCGTTGTTTCCCCTCACCCTTCTCTTCCCCCCGTCCTCCCCCTCCTCTCCTTCCCCCCCCAGGCCACCAACCTGTTCCGGACGCTGCGGTCGCTACGGGAGGCAGCGGCACTGGGGCTGCTGGACGGCGGCGGAATAGGACCCGCGGCGGGTACGGCAGGTGACGCTGGCGCTGCGGCGGCGGCGATGGCGGCGGCGGCCATGGCGTCGCATAGCGGCGCCAGTGGCGGCGGTGGGGGGGGCACCTCCGAAACCGAGTTGTCCCGCCGGGTTGCGGCTCTGTCCCGGTTCGTACTCGAGCAGATGCACAGGTGCGTGGCTGGGTACGTAGTGGGGTTTCCTGTGTTTCCATTTGTTCGCTTTTACTGATATCTTTTTCCCGCCCGCCCTCTAGCTGCTACCGCTCCCTCACGTCATCCCTTTCTCTTTTCACGTCAGGTTTTATGACTCTTTTGCCGCCTTTACACCTACCTTTACCATTTTGCGGCTTGGCTCTACTGCTCTTTTGCCGCTATTATTTTAGTCTTGGCGGCTAGGTAGGTAATTTTCCGCTGTCGTCATCACTCTACATCGTCCGGAGGACGGCTCCTTCACAACCGCCGACTGGTCAGTTGTCTGCTTCCTGTACATCCGCCGCAGCCGTCTTTCCTTCGCAGCAGCTTCACTCATTGTGGTTCGTCTTTTCCCCCACGTCACTTAGAGTTCCGCTCAGCACAGACACACAGATACACACATACATACACACACACTACCGCTGTGTGTACACACCCCTACACGGTATCCGGCGGATCAGGCTCTGTATTGTGCAGGAGGGTTGGTAGTGGCTCCTCACGCCCCTCCCCTTTCCCCCGGGCGGTCTTGTTCGTTGGGGCAGCTGGGCAGCAGCCCTGGCCAGCGTCAGGCCCGGTCAGGTACTTGTAACAAACATACACACATAGACACACATAGACACACATAGACACACATAGACACACATAGACACACACCTCTGCAGCAGTCTGGGTGCTTTGGACGTATCGCTTCTTGCTTGCATGTATCATTTCTCCCCAACCCTGTTACCTCCCCCCTTCCCCCCCTCTGTTACCTCCAGGGAGGCCTCCAACGCCCGAACCCCCTCCATGGGCCCCTTCAGATCGGGTATCGCCCCTCAGCCCTCACCCGCTAATGCTGCCATGGCACCTGCGCTCGAGGTGAGGGGGGGGTGAGGGGGGGGTGGAGAGGGCAGGAGGACGGGATGAAATAGGGGGGGAAGGGGGAGGGGGAGGGGGAGGGGGAGGGGGAGGGGGAGGGAGGAGCTTAA